GGCTACTGAGGACACCATGGTAAAGTTGAGAGAACTGTCAGAACTGTCTCTCATGTCCCTCTACGGAATTCACAAACAGAAAGAGAAATCCCGACTCCAGGGGGGTAAGTACAAAATGAGTTAGAGAAGTGTACTAGATTTGTGGGTGGGAGGCCCAGCTTAAGGCCTGATCCTGCCATCAATCATCTGTGACCTTCAACAAGCCACTTAATCTCACTTTCCCAGTTTCCTTTCTGTGCAAGGGGTTGATGAGATGGACTTTGCAGGGCTGCAATGAGGATTAGAATGAATGCTGTATGGGGAGAGGGCAAGGGTGGGGGACCCACAGTGTCTAGAGTGCAGGGCGAGGCCAAGCTATGAAATAAGCCACAGAGGACGCAGAGGGCAGCAGCAGCCGTGTTGGCTACTCAATTCCTGGCCTGGCGTGCCCACAGTATTCCTTGTTGAACTCCACCACATGATGAGGATGAATCCTGACCTGTTTCCCCAAACCTGCTCACAGAGAAAGGGTAGGTCCGGTTTTCAGAGGCTGTAAATGTTGGGGGAGATCTTCACCCCATGGAGCAACTGGTGGACTCGCTTATCTTTGGGCTGGAAGTACAGCTCTTTACCCACTAGAAGACTGCATTAGGGGGGCGGCAACTGCCTCCCCTCTCTGGGCTGAGTCTCTGCCTCCCACGCGTGGATCTGGGTTCTTCACAGAAAAGCCCTTCCCTGAGGTGCACTCCTCGGACTCTGAAGGCTAGAGCTCATGTGAAGGCCGCTGGGCTGACCTCCTGGAGAAACCCCAGTGGGACCAACAAGCTAGGGAATTGTTTCCTCAGAACTGACCAAAGTGCATGCCGGGCGTCCTGTTCAGATCCAACTAAACGAGGGAGGTTTGTTCAGCCTGGTGAGTGATGGGCCGCGGGACGCAATCCTGCAGGGAAGCTCGTGACAGAGTCTTCTGGATTTTGAGCAGCGCCTTCTGACTTTTACTACAACTTCCAACTGCTTCAAGAGCAACACTGTTCAGAGAGACTCAACACATCATTGCCGAGAAAACCCCTACGGCAAATTTAGGAACACTCTTCCTGTGTGTGGAACTCTCCTGTTTTAGGAAGTTGGTGGCACAGCCCATCCAAGGCTGTGGGTCTCTGGGTGTTTGAACCCACTGTTGGCTCCTGGGAGAAAGACACACGGTCTCCTGTTACAATCTACTGCCTCCTGTTGAGATCTACCACCTCCTGTGAGGGTCCACCACCTCCTGTGAGCGTCCATCGCCTCCTGTGAGGGTCCACCGCCTCCTGTGAGGGTCCACCGCCTCCTGTGAGGGTCCACCACCTCCTGTGAGTGTCCATCGCCTCCTGTGAGGGTCCACCTCTTCCTATGAGGGTCTACCGCCCCCTGTGAGGGTCCACCGCCTTCTGTGAGCGTCCACTGCCACCTGTGAGGGTCCACTGCCTCCTGTTAGGATCTGTTGCCTCAGAAACCCCATGGCGGGCTGCTTGGAGTCAGGACCCGTCCAAAGGCAGTGAGCTTGAGTTTTTGTGTTTCTTGATGTACATCAAAGATCAGCAAACTGCAGCCTGTGGGTCGAGTCTGATCCACTGTCCAGACTTCATAAGCTTTGTTGCACCAGACTTGCACACTCATTTACATGTCGTTCAGGGCTTCTTTCACTGTACAACAGGAGAACTAAGCTGTCGGGACAAACAGACCTGTGAACCTGTAAGGCTGGAATGATTGAGCATCCGGTCCTTTGCAGGGAACACTTGTTGACCCTTGCTGTCCAGTCCAGCAATGAGAACTGCAAAGCTTATGCTATGAGGTCAATGATATTACATCCGAATTCTCAGGTCTCCGGTGCCCCCCTGTAAAGAAGCTGCACTACAATACCAACAGCAACCTGAAGGAGGCAGCAGGAAACACAGACACTCGCTGGATGCTACAGTGAAGTCTCATGATTAAGAGCAAGTCCTGGGTTCAAACCTCTGCTTCCCTGCATAGAAGTTGTGTAATCTTGGATGAGTTACAGATTCTCTTTTGAGCCTGCGTCCCTACCTATAAAACAGAATTACTGACATGCCAGAGCTTGGGGTTAATTATGGCAGTTACCACAACAACCCCAAATTACTGCTGGGAAAATAGGGGCCAGCACCCTCAAACCAAGAGCAGGCACATTCCGTCATGGAGGCTGCAGACTACCCCCAGGGCACCGTCTGAAGAAGGGGCAGCTGCTGTCTCTGCTCCCAAAAACTTGGCCATGGAGTTTAGTGCCAGCAGGACTGTTCCAGAGGTCAAGGTGAGGGTCCTGAGCTCTAGAAGGTAACTGTGTCGGGCCTGGGAGCTCCACGTCCAGCATCACGTTGCCTGGGGAAACCTGGCCTCTGCACAAAGAGTGGATGTGGCCCTCCTTCATTAACCCTCTGTCATGCTGTCTAGAGCTCAGACCTGTGTTTTCCTCTCTTCTCATGAGCTTGGTTAGCGCAGGGCCCCTCTCCTGGCTGACTCACCTGCTTGGTGTCTGGCCTGCCACGGCTGTGAACTGTGTTTGCGAGTGGACTCCACAGTCATGGTTGTGTCAGTCATTGTGAAATAACTGAGCAGCTTCCAGCCGGGGGGCCACCAAACACATACCGAGTCAGGGCTTCAGATGACGGGCCGTGGAAACCCTGAGATGGCATATCCTCAGAACAGTGTCCAGCGCCAAGTTGCTCCTCAGTCCCCAGGGACCTAGAGGATGGAGACTGCGAGTCAGGACAGCCTGTCAGCACCCCAAGACCCAAAACACATCTGTGATGTGAGGGCACAAAGTCTCCACAGGAGGCAGAGTCCGAAGGCAAAGCCAGAAATGCTGGCCATTCCTCTGCTGGTGACACTTGGGAGTCCGAGGGGGTCTCTGGGCCAGGCCCTGTGCAGAGGACACTCCGAGAGCTGCTGTCCCCATGGCACAGCCTGATGGCTCGAGGTGGAGGTGCCAAGTGCCACTGTGCTGGCTGACAACTTTTATAATTTAAGAAAAAGAAAGAAAAAAATGTTTTTAAGATTCTCAGTCTCCTAACTTGAGTTTCACCACATCCATGAGTAGTTGTTGTTGTTGTTGTTGTTGTTGTTGTGTGCGATTGAGTCAGATATGACTCACAGCGACTGTGTGAGGAGCTGACTGAACCCTGTCCTGTCCTGTGCTGTCCTCATCATCTCTGACACTCGAGCCTACGCTGTGGTCACCGCGTCAGTCCTCCTGGTGGAGTGTCTTCCTTGCCTTTGCCGATCCTTCACCTTCCAAAGCATGACGTGCCCTCCCAAGGAACAGTAGAGTCTTGGCCTTCCAATCCAGTTCTCATTATCGGCATGCAACCTTGGGCAACGACCTAAGATCTCTGAGCCCCAGTTTCCTCATCTGCAAATGTGGATTAGGGAGCTCTGCTGGCTAAGTGATACGTAGTTGTATAGTCAACCCAAAGGAATACGGTTCAAATTCACCAGTCGCTCCATGGCAGAGAGATGGGCACTCTCCTCCCATGTGATTTGTTGTTGGTTGTTGTTGTTGTTGTTGTTGCTGTTGTTGTTAGATACTGTTGAGTCAAGTGCGACTCACAGAAACCCTATGAACAAAAGATTTTAATTCTGTTCTAGCCTGCGCCAACCTCACACTCCCTGACACACAAGAGCCCATTGCAGCAGTCACCTCACTAGTCTACCTGGTCGAGGGTCTTCCTTTCCATCGCCGACTCTCCACCCTTCCCAGCATCATGTCCATCTCCAAGGTATTCCTTGATCCCTCCTATTACCCCTCCTAGCAACATGCTCATGTGAGGTGAAGCCTCACCATTCTTGCCTCCAAAGAGCACGCGGGCTGCACCCATGTGATTTCCTGACTCTAAAGACCCACTGGACAGTCCGCTATGGGTTGGCTTCAACTTGACATTACCTAGCAGAAACAACACTATAGACAGGGCTCAGAGAAGTCAGGAATCAGTAAAATGATGCATCTACATCACACTGCCTAACACACAGCAGCTGTTCAACCACAGTCAGTTCCCCTTTTTCTGGATTCACAAGGCTCATGGAAGGGACAGCCTTGACTGTGAGGAAGTTTATGAACTCAAGCGCACAGCTCTGTTCAGTTCACATACACTGCTGATTTCTCTTCTAAGGTGTCCTGGTCCGTGAAATCCTCAATAACATGAAGACTGCGACGCAGCCCTCAAGCCCCCGGAAGCTCATCATGTATTCTGGAGTAAGTAGTCTTGTCATCACTCTGTACCCATTTGTTCAGTGTGTGGTCTCTTTGAGGCTGAGGCCTCCCCTTGGTTTTCATTTCCTCATTGCAGTAGACGGTAGGACACTGTGGAAGGCTTGTGGCTTCAAACACATAATTCTGGCCTTAAAGAGTTTACTGTGCAACTGACAGGAAGACAAGCACATAAACACCTTACAAAGCATTGTAGGACGCACTGTACAAGCAAGTGCTTTGATGAGTCACAGAGGAAGTGTGCTTCCACTGGGGGGGCGGGGGCGGAGAGAAACAGGAAGAGTCCCTGAGTGGCCACGGTCAAGAGCATCAGGATGAATGGTTAGTAAGCCGTTCCTCGCTGTACAGGTGCATAGGAAGGGAATTGTTTGCATAGACATAGAAGGTCCTGGAAACACATAATAAAGCTAGTACCAGATTTGCTGTTGCTGCTGTGTACCATCGAGCCAGAACTGGCACACACCTGGCCCATTAGCAGGTTCTCAGAAGCAATAAATGGCACAGAAGGTCACCCATCTTTCTCCTACCGAGCAGCTGGTGGATTTGAACCTCATATCTTTGGGTTAACAGTGCAGCTTCTAACTGTGCCCCCAATACCGAACCATCTGTGACAGAATGAAAACATAAGTGTCTTGAGGCACTCACCGTATTCAAGTGCTCGATAGCCTTCCATGACCGGTGGCTACATTTCCATCATTCCAAAAACTCTGTGAGCACTGAGGATAAAGAGCCTTGAAAGGCTGGAGCTGGAAAGTGAATGAAGGTCACTCAGTCTTGCATTTTGGTGAATAAGAGGAGGAATGAAGCAATGGAAACAACGCTGGACGCTTTGACCAGGAAAACTGGAGCAGAGGTGACAAGACAAGTAGTAGGGCAGGCCTGGGGAGGGAGAGATGGGAGCTGACTGGAGTGTGCAAAGCTTTAGGAACAGTCCAGAGATGCGAAGACATGGCTGCACAGCAGGGCAGCAGCAGGAAGGAGGAGGCAGGGAGTTCAGGAGGAAGGCTGGGGCAGCAGACTCAGAGCTGAGCAGTGGAGCAGGGCAGCGCTGAAAGAGGGCAGCCAGGTGAGCACAGGACGGGGAGGGTGGTGAAGTCACCAGGGCAGGTTCCTACTGACTGGACACGTGAGTCTGCAGTAGCACAGGCACGCACGTAGAGATCTCCAAACACACAGATGAAGAGGGAGGGAAAGAGAATTGTGACTTGAAGCTGGGCTACGTCCTGCAGAACACGCAACAGCCGACAAATACGCAGAAGATAATGCGCCACCAAAACAGATGCTTTCCAGCAAAATGCACACAAATGAAAAACCAAGACTATGTGTAAACTTTGACTGAAATGATTTTTGAAAGACTGAATATATCCTTTCCCTCTATACCTCTTAAGTTGTGAGAGTATGGGAAATTTACCTGCACCATTTGTGAAAAATAAGCCGCCATGGTACTTTCACACGTGCTTAGTACCTGTGGAAGGCGGGCCTCACCCAGAAATGGAGATCAAACGCTGTTTTGTTTTCATTTCCTTTAGCATGACACCACCATAAGTGGCCTCCAGATGGCACTAGACGTTTACAATGGACAGCTTCCTCCCTACGCCTCCTGCCACATAACAGAGTTATACCTGGACAAAGGGTAAGTCTGAGACACAGTTATCAAAGTCAGTTTCACTGGTTTCTAGCCCTTGGTGTTATTTTATTACTAGTTTACGGGTTATTTTCATTTAGAGTTTTATTCGGAAATACTGTACCTCTTTCTACATGTTCTTGTTAGGTGTTACCTAGTCAGCCACGGCTCATAGCCACACTACAAACAACATATGGAGCTTTCCCCTCTGCTGGACCATCTGACGATCTCTGTCACTGGAAGATCACTGTCAACCCATCTTGTGGAGGGTCATCTCCTTAGCTGACCTTTCCCAGCATGATGGCCCTCTCCGAGGACTGGTTCCTCCTGAAATTGTGCCCAGTGTTAAATATATACATAACAGGTGAAAAATAAATTTTACGAACAAGTTTGTCTTGGAGGAAGTGTAACCAGGGTGCTCCTTAGAGGCGAGGATGATGAGACTTCACCGCACGTATTTTGGGCATGTTGTCAGGAGGGACCAGTCCTGGGAAAAGGCATCATGTTTGGAAAAGTAGGACCAGTAGGAGAGGAAGCCCCTAGACAGGAAGAACGGCCCCAGTGACTGTGACAGTGCACTTGAGCCACTCGGAGACGGTGAGGCTGGTGCGGGACAGACCAAGGCTGTTCATCACAGGGTCACTGTGAGTCATGGTCACCAGTACTAACAGCCACCAAACCTCACAGGGCAGAAATGAGGTCTTAAAAGATGGAGACTCAAGAAGCATTTCTAAGTAGTAAGTGAACATTGTTATATGGTTTCCTCGAAGAACACAACCTGGTAAAAGGTAGGGAGTCTGGTGACCCAGTGCACAGGCACCTGGGCTGTTAACCCAAGGGAACGCCTCGCTGGGGCTTCATGTCATCAGCAGGGAAAGGTGGCCGTCCCCTTCCGTGCAGTTTATAGCCTCCTGAAAAGTCACTGAAGGTCCAGTGTGAGTTGGTGTCAGCTTGATCATGATGAGGTTAGGGAAGTTCTGGTGACCTAGTAGAAGGAGTTGTACTGCCAGCTCAAAGGTGTGCGGTTTGAATCCATCAGCTGCTCCAAGGGAGAAAGACAGGCAGTCTCTTCCTGTGTGATTTACAGCCTCTAGAAACTGGCTGGAGGGTCAGCTGCCAGGCGGTTCTACCTTGAGGGTACATAACAACTTTCCTCTCACGTTTCTGTTCCCACATGGCCTAGTCTGCTCTATCTATTAGACACGGCAGTGTTTCTTCTGCTGAGCCCTCACCCTCACCATCTTGAGTAAATCCACACTACAGAGAAAATGATGTTTTCATAGAGAACAAAATTAACCAGGAACTGTGCACAGGCAAAAGCCAGAGTTCCTAGTCCTCTGGAACGTGTATCTGATCTTAGAAACAGCAGCACACAAGTCGGCGAGAGGTGTACATACTTATATGTCAAGCGCTCCAGCTGTATCTATTAGTCTGGCTTCTCCAGGGAAACAAAACTGAAAGAAACAGACTCACACAGTTGTGGGGACTTGGGGCCAAGTCCATGGAGCTAAGTGGTAAGCTGGACACTGATAGTTTGGAGTCCAGAAGTCACAGTCCAGACAGATTAGAAGTCTGTCTTCCAAGGAGCACTGGTGGCACGATGGTTAAGCACTGTTGGTTTGAATCCACTAGCCGTTCCTGGAGTCGGGGGAAAGGGCCTGGTGGTCTTCCGAGGAGCTGAGGAGACAGTGGTCTAGGAAACACCCCACTCTGTCTTCAGGGTAACTGTGCATCGGAATCTGCAGTCTTCCATAGGATCCTTCCTGTGGAAAACTTTTCTTTGCTCTGAAGGCCTTTTAGCGACAATTACAAAGTACTTGGCTGTCGTAGCCTGGTCAAATTGACTCTAAAACCCATCCCCACAATCCAGCACTTGTCGGTGTGGTACCCTAGGCCCATCCTTAAGCCTTGAATCGCACTCATCTGAAAATAAACACACCAACAAAGTCACCTGTACCCAGGATGTCCTGTGTCCACTCAGAGTGAACTGGGAGTCCTTTCTCTGAAGAGAGTTCAAAGCTTTTGGGTGATGTCCACGCTTCTCCATGCTGGCATGGGATTTACATGTTAATACATTTTATCATTTCAAATTATATGACAGGAGAAATAAATAAACATGCATGCTCATAACAAACTAAAGAATACTCAACACAGTCTTCATGTCTGCAACGTGGTCACCTGGTCATAGCTTATATTTAAAATCACCTCCTCTGATTATTTCAACTATCCACACTACATCCTCCTTGCTCTCAGCAAGCGCCTCAACTGGTCAAAACTTCCATCATTTATCTGTAAGCTAAGTTATCTAATATATTCTTGTTATTATACACAAAACATAATGTTAGATAAGAATAAGAAACTTACATTACCTGTTCATCCTCTCTTGAATGTTCTTCCTTAGTGGAGCTCTGAGTTCTTGACCTATATTCCTTTCTTTCTTTCCAAAGATCTTACAACAACAACAGCAATCTCATCACAAAATACCAAAAACACCCCATATACCATTTTGCAAAGCGGGTCCAGTAGGCATTGTTGTTGTTGTTAAGTGTCATCGAGTCATAGGTGATTCATAGCAACCCTATGAATAAAAGACATGAACACCTGTATAATTTTCATCATTTCTCCAAGGTCACAGAGTTTCCGGAGGCAAGCTATTTCGGAAGTGGATGTCACTCCTGCTTCCAAGCTTACTTTAATCGGGAAGCTCTACCAAACACTGTCCACCATGGGTAACCATCAGTATCACAGTGTTTAGCATCACAGCAACCAAGAGTTAAATTCCTGAATTTTTTTTTTACTTGAGAAAGTATAATTCCGTTTCATTTTTTAGTTAATTCTAATGAAAATTTACAGAGACTTAGGGTTTCTAGTCATTCATTGTTGCACTTTTCTCCCTGCCCCCACTCCCCCCCAATTCACTCTTCTCCTTGAAAAGTAAAAGAAAAACTCTTTCATTGTTATGCAATCCCTCCCCCCAAATCCACTTCACTGTGCAGCCTTCATTCTGGACTCCAGTCATGACAATAATACCCAATCACATATCTCTTTTAAACAGTTCTCTCCCTCATCTGTTTCATTGCAGTATATGTCATTCCTCCCCTCCTTCTCTGCCTTCCCTCAACCCTAAGGTCAGTCCCATTTTACAACAGTGGCCCTATGCAATATTTTTCCTTTTGTGACTGAGATATTTCTCTCAGCACACTCCAGGGCCATCCACTTTGCATAATATTTCACTAGTTCCTTGTTTTTCAGTGCATAGTATTCCATTGGGTAAATATACCAGAGCTTCTTTATTCATTCGTTTGTTGATGGGCACTTGGGTTATTTCCAGTTCCATTTAATTTTTAAATCATCACTTTCCTAAAGGGTACAGACTTCCAGGTTGGAGTTGTGGTGCTGGTTATATTCTTTCAATACTATAAGTTTCTCTCCACTTTCTTGCTCAAATGGTTTAAAAAACTCCCATGTGATCCTAACCCTTGTTTCCTCATATATATAGAGAGAAAGAGAATGTTGTGGTTGTTGATTGCTGTCACATAGAGCATGACTCATAGCTACCCTATGAACAAGATATGAGAGATCTGAAGCCTTTCTATAACTATTGTTATTTATCCAAGTCCATATTTTCCAGAGGCATGTTATTTAGGAAGTGGATGCCACTCCTGCTTCCCAACCTGTCTTAAGCTGGGAGCTCCACCAAACACTGTCTACCGTGGGTAACCATTATGGCATTTGAAACCCCAAGGCCACAAGGTTCAGCATCACGACAACCTCAGGTTACCTCAGTATGGCATATTGACAGGAGAGTGCTGTACCACTTAGAAGAATGTTCCTCCAAAATATAATAACAACTGACTTAAATACAAAGGCCCTCACCAAGATCTTGCTGACTCTAAACAAGAGGCTTAAATAAAAAAACACCACCAATATAGTTTGTTCTTATGTGACGTGAGTTGCCTGTGATGTATAGTAACCCTATGAACAGCAGCTCTGAACCTTTCTCTGTCCTTAGCCAGTATCTCTAATTCCGACACACCAACCCCCATTGCCCCAATCCATCGGATCCAGGATCTTCCTCTCCTGAGCTGTCCCTCCACCCTTCCAAGCATGATGTCCTTCTCCAAGGACCAGTCTTTCCTGGCCACGTGCCCAAAGTATGTGAGATAGAGCTTCAAAATCCTAGCCTTCAAGGAGAGACTTGGTTTCACCATCTCCAAGACAGACTGTTGTTTTGTTCTCTCGGCAGTCCATGGTAGGTTCAAGACTCTTCTCCAGCACCACAACTCAAAGACAACTATTCTTCTTCTGTCATCCTTAGTCATTGTCCAGCTTTCTGAAGCAAAACAAATAATTGAGAAGAGATGAGAGAGAGATACTCTCGTCCTCTGTCTCCCTCCCCTCCCCCTGCCGTCCCCGCTGCCTGGTTCTTTTGAAGGTTCACTTTGTCTTTGATTCTCTCCAATTGGAGTATGACATGCCTATGTGGGGTTTGTCTGTTGGTTTTATCCTGTTCTGCTCTATCTGTTAGTAATTTTGGAAAATTCTCAGTCATTACTTCCAGTATTTCCTTTTTACTTTCTTCCTCACATTTTCATATTGTACTTATGTTCCAAATTCTTGGCTATTTTGTTACCACTTTTTCCATCTTTCTCCTCCTTGTTTTTCAGCTTCTCGTTGTTGGTGTTAGGTGCTGTCAGGTCCACCAGGACTCTATGAGTAGCAGACGTGAACCCTGTCTGGTCCTGCACCGACCTCACCATCTCTCTACACCTGTGCTCATTTCTCAACACTGTGCCTGTCCATCTTGTTGAAGAAGTTACTCCACCTTTCCAAGTATTATGTCCTTTTCCAAGGACTGGCCTCTCCCAAGTTTCTATTGACCTATTTTCGAGCTTGCTAATTCTGGTTCTTTCTTCAGCTGTATCAAAGACATTATTCCTTTCACTTGTCAGGTTGTGGTTTTTTTGTTTCCAGCATTTCCTTCTGATTTTTGTCTTAAAGTTTACATCTCTATTGGTGCTTGTATGTTGGCTTTCTTTTGTTTTTCATTCGAGTTCTTAGTATGTTTATCACAACCTCCTGCCACCAAGTTTACTCCAAGACTGTAAATCTTCACAGAAGGGTACTGCACCTCTTTCTCCTGTGGAGCAGATAGTGGGTTTGAACCCCTGAATTTTTATTTAGCAGTGTGACACGTTGCACACTATGCTACTAGAATTCCTTGTATTAATCATTAAAAATACCCCCCCCCCCCAAACACACACTCATTGTTGTCAGGTTGAAACTGCCTTGTCACCGACTGGCCAGCAGATTCTCAGAGCCTGAAAATCTCACAGGACGTGGCTGCCCAACTTTCTCTCAATATTCTGCTGGTGGGATTGACACACCAGCGAGGCCCCACCTTGGGTCAGCAGTGCAACTCCCTGGTGACTATGCCACCCTGACCCCTGGAATGTAGACTTCTAGGGGAAACAAAATTAACTTCTAAAAATATTTTAAAACCATAGTTGTTTTAAGTTCCCTGTTCAACAATGCCAAAATTTCTTTGATATACAAGTCTAGTTTTGATGTTTGCCTTGTATCTTCAGATTGAGTTTCCTGCCTTTCAAAATGTCTTGCAGTATTTTGTTGAAAGCCAGAAATAATATACTGGATAAAAGTAGCTGTGGCTTTTTTCTGTCGCCATCCCTGCAAAGCTCTATTAATATGTACTGGTGTTATGGTCTGGGGAAAGAGGATGTGTTTTGTAATCCTGTTAGTATTTCTATCTTTTGAGAGGCATTTGCTCCTGGGTTGTAACCTTTTTTAAATTTTACTCCTTTGTTGAAATAAGAAGGCTGAAAATGGTTGAAATTAGATGTTACCTTTCCTTCATGTCCAAGTTTAAAGGAGGCTGTACTGGTCTTGGTTCTTAAATGTCCTCCATAGATATTAATGTCTGGTAAAACTCAAATAGCTTTGATTAACTGTTTCTCTTTGGAGGGTAGCACTGTTTTTCATTGATAGAAGCAAGAGATTTTGCTTCATGTTTCATAGTGAGGATCCTAGTGAGGTTCCTACAGGTAAAACTCGTGAATACGTGGGCTCCTCCTAAGACTGGGACACCAGAAGCTCTTCTCTCACCTGCTAGTCCAAGCTCTGGGAGTTCTGGTGGCCTCCTGGCACCTAGTACAACTAAGAGGCGCTTACTGTCTCAGTAGGAGAAAATGGTAGATGGGGGCAGCGGGCCATGAGCGTCTCTCTGAAAAGGCCGTAGGGAGTAAGAATAGCACAGACCCTCACCCCCTGAGCACAAACACGATAAAGAGCCAGAACTCAACACCATGGTGCCTGTAGAGCCACACCAACAGCCAGAGGTTTGTTGTTGACTCACAGACCCACAGTTGTGGTTCTAGGAATGGGGTTTATTAGGGAAGTTGAGGAAACAAAGACTATCACCCAATGCAAGTCCAGGTATTAGCCCAGGTTCCAAGGCACAACTCCCCAATTAGTCCAGGCTCTGGTTTCAGTGTGGCAGTCAAATCCAAATCATCCAGAAAGACTTGACTCAGAGCAGTAATAAGTCAGGTTCTCTTTCAAGCATCCAGCAAGAATAGCAAAACCTTTAACTGTGGCTTCCACACATGCAAGAAGCCTCAGGTCACACCTTGCCACAATTTGTCCACAGCAATGCTACAGTCTCTCCTCCACCATCACCAGGTACTTGCTCTTACCAGGGTCTTACTCCAGTCTCTCTCAAGTCTTGCTACCGTAAGCTTTGTTCACCTCAAGTCTTGCTGCCCAGGGTGGGAAGCACTTTTTATCTTCTCCTAGCTCCACAGCTGTTGGTGATTTGCAAGACCATGTGCCTACAGTTAAGGCAGCTGGAAACCAGAGAAGACTAAGTGTAATGACTAAAGAATGCCAACTCTTAAGCTAACATCACACTAACCCAAAGGCATTTGGTTTAAATCCATCAGTTGTTCTGTGGGAGAAAAAATGGGACTTTGAAAACCCACTGTAGAGTCTGCTATGAGCTGGGTCTGATTCAATGGTGATGAGCTGAGTTCAGTCCAAGCTCAATCTCCAGAAATTAGTCAATTATCCTTTAAATATTCCTAATCAGTGTGAGGTCATTGAGGAATAATGGGTAGCCATGAATTCTCTCCTGGTAATCAAAGAACGTCAGGCTGTATGTCTCCAGGTTCTAGAGGGACAGTTTCTCCCATGACCTGAATTCTCTGATGTATCTAAGCAGAGTTGTTGATTTTTAGTTTCCCTGGCCTTGTTGTTGTTGTTGTTGTGAGGACAGAACCGTAACAATAAACAAGTTCTTCTATGACAGACTAGAAATGGAAGCCCTCCGCTTTTATCTTTATCACTAGAGCTAGTTTTGAATCCTTTGTTTGTTTGTTTGTTTGTTTTTTAGCTCCTAGAAGTATTTAATTAATCTGGCAAGTCTGCAGGAGTTGGAAAGGAATATATGCACATACACAGAAGACAGTCCATTTTACCAGCAGTGCTCTTCAGGTCTTATAGACCTTAGTGGGCAAACACAGACAGTGAACACAGTAAGTCCATGATAGAAGTGGGTAAGCGTGCAGAGAAATCACAATTTCAAATAGGGTAGGGGTAGGCGTCACTGAGAAGTTAACATTTCAGCAAACGCTCGAAGGCTATCTCAGTTAAATATTCAATTTTATTTTATTTTAGTGAAGGTTCACACATATTTGTCTTCATCCATTCATGCTTGCACATTTTCCTCCCTCCGCACTCCAAACGTCTAAACCATGTTGTGGATTACTAACTCCTCGGATGATTTCATTAGCTGTAACAGATGAGCCTCCAACTCTCAGGGACTCATTGCAGCGGCAAGTCCTTCCTCACTCTGCCACAGTCCAGTGCAGGGGTTCCAGATCACATTTTGTGTTCAAACATGGCAACTCAGGAAACCTGGGACGTTGTTTGACACATCTACAGTTCTGAAGAGTTCTGTGCTCACCCACATGGAGTTTATAGAAACAAAAGGGCTGAAATGGGGACCATGTCAGCCCTCTCATATCCTACTGACTAACGTTTGTTCACTGAAGCACGGGAAATTCTGGGAAATGAAGTCAAGCTCAGCTAGAATGGAGAATCCTATATTTTAATGATTTGGCTATTTTTCTCAACATGTCTTGAAACACGATTTTTAATTTTTTATAAAATGCTGTCACTAGAAACATTATCCCAAAACACAAGTAGTCATTCATATAGTGTTAGAGAAGTATTTTTAAATATATCTCATAAGTTAATATCTGTGCTCAGTACTATCTTTATTTTTTTTTTTCTTGTTACATACTATCAAATTGACCTGACTGGCCCAGGGGGAGATTGCCCCTCCTTCTCCAGTGGAACAGCTTGTGGATTTGAACCGTGCGCCTTCGGGATTGTAGTGCAGCTTCTTGCCAGTAGGCCACCAGAGCTTGCTCAGTACTATCTTTAAAGACTTCTAAAAGTGGTATTTCTAAGAACTTGTGTATATCAATACCCATCAGTTTCAGCTGTGATATCAATAATTCAAAAGGCATCCTTTTAATGCCTTCTTCCTTTTCAATTGACAAGTGACTTCTGTGAGCCCCCTACACTAGTTTTTCAGGAGGCTGCTTTCAACTAAGTCCCCAAAGAGTATGTTGGCTTTAAAAAAAAATGTATTGACTTCTTCTTTTTTTGTTTTCTGAGGTAAAAATAAAGACAGATTTATTAGAAAGTTACAACCCAAAGATGGGACAAACCCTCTTCCTTGGAAAGCAAACTTGGGGGTGACCAACAGTCTGCTGCTTAATGTGAAGTTACAAGGTCTCAAAGATCCAGCCACTCCATCCTTCCAAGCGATGATTTTGTGATAAAGTCATGTGTTCAGACACACGTGATATAAATTATTCCCCTCCTTGGAGAGGGATGTCATGCTTGAGAGGGTGGAGGGACAGCACAGGAGGGGAAAACCCTCAATGAGGTGGATTGATTCAGTGATGGGGTAATGGCGGTAAGTGTGTTGGAGACAATAAGATTGACACGGGATAGAGCAGGGTTTAGGGCTATTGTACACAGGGTCACTATCAGTTGCAGGCAGCTCGATGGAACCTAGCAACAACAACAATGTCTATAGCATGATTAAGAAGAAAAATCTATTCAGAGGAAAGACGAGGAAAGAAGGAAGGAGTGAGGGACTGACAGAGAAGAGACAGGAAAGCTAAAGCCCACAGGCCCCTCCCCCTCCCTCTCCCTCCTGATTAGAAGCTCTGCAGAGCACCTCTAACCATGCAAAGCCCTTCCCGTCCTTCTCTGGATGTACATCCCCATCCACTTCTTTACGCCCCTGGTCACCTAACAAATGAGCGCTCCACATCTGTTTCACCTGCCTCATTCTCTAATTGCAACTCTTCAAATCGCTAAAATGCCTTTGTTCCCATCAGTGTCTTCATGGGCCTCTCATAGAGCATGTTCTGGTCCACGTGCAAAGCAACCAAGAGGCAGGTGAAAACCCGGCACTAACAGAGCCCCTCCTCTGCCTGCACAGGGAGTACTTCGTGGAGATGTCCTATCGCAACGAGTCGCATCACGAGCCGTATCCCCTCACGCTGCCGGGCTGCAACCACAGCTGTCCCCTGACCACGTTTGCTGAGCTGGTTGCCCCTGTGATCCCCAGAGACTGGGCTTCAGAGTGCATGCTCACAGCTGACCACCAAGGTACAAGGGGCCATCCTGAGTGATATGTGCAGAGTCCCGCAGGAAGGCCAGACTGACCGTCTTCAGGGACTCTGCTTGGCTGCCGCTTTCATCGCAGCTAAGGAGATGGGTTTGGGGTGGTAATTGTGTGTCAGGGACCCTCAACTTCATGCGGCTTCTAACTTGCTACCTCACCCTCCCTCCACTTGTCTTTACTCTGCTTTTTTCAAAGTTAATTTACGAGGCAAGGCTGGCAAAGTACAAGCAGGGGCCAAAATGTGGATTAGAAACCATGGAGCAGTCATGACCTGGGGGACTGGACACATACATTTGGGATTTACTCCCCAGTTATCACCCAGAAAGTAGTATGAGTATACATGTGAGGTCTAACAATATTAAGGAGTGCTCTCTCAAGATTCCATCTCTAAAAAGCCAAAGTTTTATTTAGAGAAGATCTGTTGGTTTAGACAAAGCTCAGTGAAGCTAGTATGCAGTGTTTACAGAAGCCACTTGTTATGGGAGAACGCCCAGATTTTGTGTCAGCAGATGGTAGGGGCTGTTCTTAATAAGGTCAGGAGAGTTATTCCTCAATCAATAGGTAAAGGAATCTCTCACCTATTGGGTCTAGCCTAGAGATAGAAGATATGTGATCCTGTGGAGGGATTTAGAGCAAGGTTCCAGGCTAAAAGCCTGGTACTATTTTGACATTTGTATGAAACATATCAGATAACAGAGCTGAGAAAAGAAATGTGTCTTTGCATTGTTTGACCCTGGAAAATTCATATTTCTTTTAAAGAAACCAAAAATCAAACTTACCAGAAAGCTTTGAAATGGCAATGCTCTTGAAAAATGGGGTAGCTCTTGACAAACTGAAACAAACCCCTGGCACGATAGGAACCAACTCATAGCTGACCCTTCAGTGGGTTTTCAGAGGCAGTAAATCACAGTGGCAGGAGATTCCATCTTTCTCCCGTGGAGCGGCTGGTGGATTTGAACCATTCACCTCTGGGATTACAGTATTAAACTGTTAAGAAATGTTGCAAACTTTGTTTGCAAGACAAAAATAAAGTGCAGTCTTCAGAAAACCTATGTAAGCTCACAGGTCCTGTGGAAACGATTCATTGTTTTAGAAGTAACCGTGTTTGGAATGGCCTTCTTGTGAACCCCGTCCATTTGCTGTGTGGTGGTTACAGCACATATGAGGAATGCCAGGTGTCCCAGTCGCCTCAGGCTGCTAGAGCTCAAGTGGGTGGCTTTCATCAACAGAAATGTCTTAGGTTTAGAAAGCTGGAAAAACGTACTCGGGGCACTAGTTCTAGCGGTCAGAACCTCTCTCTGTTGGCTCTGGGGTCCCAGATCTCTGTCTCAGTGTCTTTGGTCCCAGCATTCCTCTGTTCTTTGGTGACTTCCAGGTGGCATCTGTCTTTTCCCCTTTGTCTTTACGTCCTCTTTGTCAGCTTATGGGTCAGTTCTGACTTGAAGATACGTGACAACATGACTTATGATTAGATGGGTCGCAGGAGAGGAATGTCCCCAGATGTGGACGGGGAGGGTGGGCCAGGGCAGGCTTCCTGGAGGACATAGCAGCTGTTCCACGTGAAATCAGTTGGCAAGGGGGTCCGAGGGTGGGGTGTAAGGCACCCAGAAGGCACTTAACAAATGTCCTAGTGATTTGAAGCGCCAGTGGATAGCAGAGGCGAGGCAAGAGGCAAGGTCCGCAGAGATTCCCACAGGTTTTATTCAGGAGTGTCGGTAATTTAAGTTTTAATATAAATTAAAGAACCAGAACCACTGTTAAGTCAGCTCTACTCATAACCAATCTGTACACCAGAGTACAGCTGTGCTGCGGCATTTCTCCAAGCCTGTTAACCTTCGTAGATACATACTGTTTCCTCGCTCTCCCTCAGAGTAACTGGGGTTTTCAACCACCAAGCTTTGGGTTTACAGCACAGTGCTCAATCCACTGTGCCACCAGAGTTCTCTCTCCATATATGTAATATTCTATACATTTGTGTATGTGTATATGTGTAAACATACCTATGCTATATATCAAATGCAGTGAGAGTTGCCTATGCAGAATATATTATGTATGTGGAATCCTAGAATATCTGTCCTTTTGTGCCTTTCTGCTTCTCTTAGTAAAATGTTTTCATGTTTTATCCATATTGTAGCATGTATTTCAATTTCTTTCCTTTTCCCCTCTATTTCATTGTGTATATCCACCACGTTTTGTTTGTTCATGTGGCTGGTGATGGGCATTTGGGTTGTTTACATATTTTGATGATTGTGACTAATGCTGCAGTGAACACTGGTGTACATAGATCTGGCTGAGTCCCAGTTTCATCTCTTTGGGGGTAGATCTGTAAAAGCGAAGGATTTTCACCTGTTGCGTTTCCTTTGTACCTGTTCCCCACTGTTGTACCCGCCATGGTTTGGAGCTCAATAAATATTTGCTCGATCAACGTCTACATCAGTAAGCTTTCCTCTCTGACCTCTCTCGTTGTCCTGTTAGCAGCCACACCCATAACCGAGGGGCATTTCCAGCTTTCCTTTCAGCCTCCACATCCAACATGTCATCTCTTCTAATCACCTTTACCTGTAGAATGTTTGTACAAGTCTCTTCTTCAAAAACCATCACCAACCATTTAGTAAAGAGAAATACAAATAAACATCAAATCTTGAAAACAATGTATTTTAATTGTGCAAATACACTAGTTTTTGTTGTTGTTATGCACCATTGAGTCATTTGCGACTCATAGCAACCCTATGTACAAGAGCCTTAAATGCTGTTCTATCCTGTGCCAAACTCACCGTCTCAGACACACTCATTCCCACCACTCCACTCACAGAATCGATCCATCTCATCAAAGGTCTTCCTCTCCTGTGCCATCCCTCCACTCTGCCAAACATGGTGTCCCTCTCCAAGGACCAGGCCCTCTTTGCAATATGCCCAAAGTATGTCAGCTTCAGAATCCTTGACTCCAAGCAGCATTCTGGCTTCACCCTCTCCAGGATAAACCTGTTTGTTCTCCTAGCAGTCCATGGTATATTCAACACTCTTCTCCAGCACCACAGCTCAAAGGCATCAATTCTCTTTC